CATCAGTGCAGAATTCTGGGCGTGGGCAAATTTCCTGCCCTCCTGGAGACAGGTGTCAGTGCAGGGTGGGAGTGCAGTTTCTACCCTTTTGCCTGTAGCCGCCAGCCTTTGCCTAGTACTGCCCTGCAGGACAGTTTTCTGCCTCTCCCCCCACGGGGAGATGGCCTCGGCTTCGTATGAGAGAAGCATCCCGGAAGTAGGTGTATTTGCTGCCTGCTCCCGACAGCACCCAGTCATATGTATCCCTGCACCACGAGGTGGGCTCTCTTAGGTCTTCTGCCCTGCTCTTTATTTCCTGTGAGCCCCTGATGGAAGTTTGTGGAAAAGATCTGGAAAATAGGTACCTAGAGCCCTTATGTGGGAGGTTCCCAGGGATTCTAAACTCTCATGTTAACACACACTCAACCCTTTAAGAATTTGTTAACATTTCAGTTGTCTTTATTCTTGCTTTTATGACTGTGGCCTCTCCCTCCTGTCACTGCTAAAGGCAGCCAGTTCATGTGTCCCACCTCTCCTTTGATGAGCACGTTATCCTCTGCAGTTCAGTTCCTCTGGTTGAATTACAATCTCAGATCTCTGATGGGCCTAAAAAAGTTACGATTTTCTAGATTATCCAGATTTCTCTTATTGTTAGGGTAGGGGCAGAATTCTCCTGTGGCTGTCTACACCTTAGGAGGAAGCTGACTGATTTTTCCTCTCCCTGCCACTACCCTCTCTATTCCCTTCCTCTGCCTTGTTTTTCTTCATAATACTTAAAACTACTATTACATTATATTTATTTATTGCCTGTCTCCCTCACCAGAATATAAATTCCATTAAGGCAGAATATTTGCTTGTTTTGTCCATTTCTGTATCTCTGGCACATAAGAGAAACTCAGTAGAAACTGTTGAATAAATGCATATGCATAAATGCCCAAGACCATGACATCTTCTCCAGGATCTTGCATTAGCTTGTTTTCCTAAGAACGTCCTTCTGATGCTGTTCCCTTTCCCTTGTTCTGCGATATTTTTCATATGTCCCATTTCGACTGTGTTCTTATTTATCTTTTAATCAAGCAAATCTGTTTGCCTTCAGTATCTCCATATGCCCCAATAACAACGAAGCGGGGGCTTGTCCTCGGGCTGCTCTCTGTCTACCTTTGATTTAGTGTATCTTTGCTCTCAGACCCACAGCTGGCCTGCAGGTGTTTCTGTGCTGCTGCCAGTCTGATTCTTCATCCTCGCAGGCTGTCATCCAGTGCATCTCTGCCCTACTACAGAAGTTCCCCCCACCCCCAAGACCTGAGCCTTTGGTGGTCAGGGCTAATGTATGCCTCACAAAGAGCAAACTCTCTATTTCAGAGCATCAGGGTTCCCTTTCTGCCTTCCTATTTGCTTTGTTGTGGCTGCTCCTGGCTCTTGCTATTGTTTGAATAATTTTTACTCTTTACTGCATTTGGAAGAGATGGTGGTGAGATGGAAGCTGGAGGGCAGGGGATTGGTCAGTGCTCTGCCTGCCTCAGGGAGCAGCGCATAAGGAGGGTAGATGAGGGGGCACTCCACTTCTCTGTTGGTTCTAGGCCATGTTATTGCTCTAAGGGCTGCACATCTGGCAGCAGAACCAGTGCATTCCCTTATCTTTTATAACGTGATCCTTTTTCATAAATCTGGAGTTTACTGTGTCTCTGAGTTGTCTGTTTTTGTTTTGTTTACTTAAATCAGATCCAAATATGTTACAAGTAATGTTCATCTCTGCCTGACCCTTTGTTATGTTTTTCTGGGTTATCGTTTGTGAGGCTGCATTAAAGCATGCTAGCCAGACACCCTGTTGAATGAGACCCCCTGCACTACTATTTTCGAGGTGTAGGGTGAAGCTTTTATGATTAGGAAAATTCAGGTTCATTAAATATGCTACTGAATTAGAAGTAGCTTCTTGTCATCACCTAGTCTTTAAATCAGTTTATATTAAAATTACTACCATCCCATGGTAACCCCCAATATATTCTGGTTTTGTAAAAACAAACAAAAAAAAAGTAAAACAAACTCTCTTCCATGTCACTGTGCCAAAGACCTCATCCTATGGGATATCATTTAGTTTCCTATCATCAAACCATTTCCATCTTTTCACTGTTAGTTTAAGTAATAATTCTGGATTAGAGAACAGAGATATTTCAGAAAACATAAAGAAATATAATTGTAAAACAACCTCAATTATTCTGAAGGAAGTCTGAAGGTTAAAACAATAGCTGCCTGGATTTAATTACTCATGTGTTATCTGAGAAAAAGTTGATTAAAACAGATTTTGACACTTTTTATCCATTGGAACTTTAACTTCATTGGGAAAATGGTCCTGAGGGTGGTGAGAATGTTGACTAATTGGCTTGTTCATCCCACATGGGATTACACCACTTTTTGAATCAGAATTTCCTGCTATTGCAACACATTTTTTTTCTTTTGTTTTTTTTCCTTAGAAACAATCCATTTGGGTTCATTACATGGCCATTTGTTAGTCTGGGGCATTGTACTTGTTTATGACTACAGTGAAGTCGTAGTAAGCTGGGTCTGCCTGTATATACAGAGTCAGTGGGAGATCCTGCAGCTGCTCAGGGAACGAGGCAGTGCAAGGGGTCACCCTGATATTTTAAACCCAAAATCCTCCTTTCCCGAGGTCCTGGGGCATTTTCATGTTAATCATCAAGAAGATTTGTTCAACTTCGGTTTATTTATTTACTGTATGCTGTATGTAGAATCAATCTGTTGAGCTTGGTTTTTTTAAGCTTTTTTATTGAGGTGTAATATTCTCAGAGAACATGCACAAATCCTAAGCGTATAACAAGATGAACTTTTACCAACTGAGTGCACCTGTGTAACTAGTACCCAGAAAAAAGAACGTGACCAGCACCTGGTCAGGAAACAGAACATGACCAGCACCCAGCAGCTCGACTCGTGTCCTCATCCTGTCACTACCCCTCCTTACCATGGGTAACCACTCTCCTGTTTTGCTTGTTTTTCTATCTTACATAAATGGGATTATACATGATGTATTATTTCTTTCATTTTTCATTATGTTTATGAGATTCATGTATTTATTGTGTATTGATTGTATCTGTTCATTCACACTGCCGCGCAACGTTCCATTGATCAATACAACGCACTATTCATTCTGCTGTTGACAGGCATTTGAGTAGTTTTCTTTGCGGGGGAGATGGGAGTTATTATGAATACTCTCTGAACGTTCTAGTACATCCCTTCTGGTGAAAGCATTCATATGCATCCATTCCTGTTGGAGTGTAGCTGGGAGTGGAATTGCTGGGTCTTAGGGTGTGTGTATGTTCAGATTTAGTAGATAAGCCAGTTTTCCAGAGTGGTTGTAAGTATTTATACTCACACTTGATGTATGAGAGTTCCAGTTGCTCCACCTCCTCACCAATACCTTCTGTCTTTTTCATTTTAGCTATTCCAGTGGATATGTACTGAATGTGGTTTAATTTATATTTCCTTGATGATAATGAACCTGAACGACTTTTAATATTATTAGTAATTTGTATTGATATATCCTTGTTTTGTGAATTGTCTGTTCAAGTTTTTTGCCCATTTTTCTATCATTTGACTCTCTTTTTGTTACTGTTTCATAGGAGTTCTTTATATAATCTGGATATGGGACCTCTGTTGAAATATGTATGGTAAATATTTTCTCCTCTGTGGGTTGCCTTTTCATTCCTGTAATGGAGTCTTTTGATGAACAAATATTCCTAATATCTTTAAAGTCCAATTTATTATTTTTTCTTTTATGGTTTGCACTTTTTTGTCCAGTTTAAGAAATCTTTGCCTACTCTAAGTTGACAAAGCTGTTCTATGCTTTCCTCTAACATCTTTATTTAAATTTGTAATTCATCTGACTTGATATTCGTATACTACATGATCTAGAGATCAAGATACATACTTGCCATGTGGATATCCTATTAACCCAGCGTCATTTTACTTGGTTTTTAACTTGTTTAAAATATGTCTATACATGGGGAGGGGAAATGGGTAAGCTGAGACGAAGTGAGAGAGTGGCACTGACATATATACACTACCAAATGTCAAATAGATGGCTAGTGGGAAGCAGCTGCATAGCACAGGGAGACCAGCTCGGTGCTTTGTGACCACCTAGACTGGTGGGATAGGGAGGGTGGGAGGGAGATGCAAGAGGGAGGGGATATGGGGCTATATGTAAACGTATAGCTGATTCACTTTGTTATACAGCAGCAACTAACACAACAATGTAAAGCAGTTACACTCCAATAAAGATGTTAAAAAAATAAAAATTAAAGCAAAACAAAACAAAAAATAAATAAATAGAATAAAATATGTCCATAAAATTTAGTTTCACTGAAGTATATTTTATATTTTCCTGGAGAGAATTACTAATGATTCTTGAAAAAAATTTAAACCTTTGGTGATGTAAAATGTATAATATAATCAACAGATTTATTTAACACATAAATTGAGATATTTCTTAAAGGTTCTTCTGTTTAATTAGACTCTAGTTTGTAACTCCAGCATACTTATTTATTCAACACCAGAGTGATTCATAATGCACAAAGCACAATAATTAAAAATAAATAAATTATTCTCACTTTTTCATTAGAATTCAATTCAACACATGTTTATTATTTGTCTGCTAGAATTTGGGACAGTTGAGAATATGGTTGAAGTTTTGAGCTCCATTTTTATGTCATTTAGGTTTTAAGCCATATAATAAAGTTGTCAAACATCTGTCAGTAATAAACCATTTTTCTTTAGTATTCAAAATTATATTAACAAAGAGAAGTACAAGGTGAGAAGTTTTATTACTATTAAGATGACCTTACACCACTATACCAAGTTTTCCACTAGTAATGACACACATCTTTTAAAAAGTAAAAATAGAAAATAAAGTTTCATTTATATATTTGGAATGCCTATGACTGCTTCTTCTTTGATGTCATTTCTTTTCTGCTCAGTTTTCTTTTTTTTTTCTTTTTTTATTATTCTAGGTTGTACTGGTCAGTGGACATCTGGACAGCTGGGATGTTGGGCAGGGTGCGATGGATGATGGTGGAGGAGCCTTTATATCATGGGAAGCACTCTCGCTTATTAAAGATCTTGGTAAGTATTTAGTAAGTCGTTAACCAATGTGTGAGAGTGTCAGTGGTGACACGTTTAGCTCAATACACAGAATGCTCAACAGGTTAGTTATTATGCAATGTTTACAGATCCTCCTGAGGTCTGTATGTTTTTTGTCAGTTGATTCCCAGAGAAAAACGAATTTGTCCCCTTAAAGAAAGAAATTTTTATTCAAGTGTCCACCAGACAGCCAAAGGATCAAATATGATCAGCCACTGGGGAAAATGAACAAGCAAATAAAACTGTAGCAAATGCAACCACATCAGCTAGAGATTATGTAAGGAAACCATAACCGAGTGGAAAGAAAAGTCAGCAGCTCCCCCACTTCCTTTTCCTTGTTTGTCTTTAAAGACATCATCAAGCTGTTAGGATAGCTTTACTGCAGTCGTCTGTCCATGATAGAAGTCAAGGAGCCAAAGTAGGCCTGAAGGAATGGTGCTTTTGGCCACAATAAGGAATCTAGGATGAAAAATTGGACCTTCCAGGTTAACCTAGACATGGGACAGGCATCAAAAGGAAAGACTAATTGTGAAAACAGTTTATTTTGATGACCCTATTTACAAACAAAAAACATACATTTCCTCTTTGTATGCTGGTCAAAAGGTGGATTTTGAGCGAGGTTAGAAATAATGGAACAGTCTGAAATGAGACTTCCGTGTCTGAATCAGACCAGTGGTGGTTTTGAAAATGCCTCATCAGCAGAACGTTTTCTGTTGTAACTGTGGAGTAACCTTGGTTTCAGATGTAGTGAAGACCAGAACATTCCTTTTGGTGAAGGTGTTCCATTGCTTAGTTAAGTATACATGTGTTTAAATTCATGCTTTTCCTCTGGCTTTTAATGAATCCTTCTAATCCTAAATCAGCCCATTAAATAATTGTTCATCTTAACTAGACTTCTGACATTGTCTTGGTCGAGGCAAATATTTAGTGTATCATTTTGCTTTATGTCTTACTTGTGTTTTAAAAATGGAGAAACGGGAAGGTGATTGTGCATGTTTTTAACTTTTGAAGAGGCCGGTGTCTCTCAACCTTGGCATTATTGACACTTGGGGCCGGATAATTCTTTGTTGTGAGGTGGGTCCCGTACATTGTAGAATGTTTAGCTGCATCCCTGGCCTCTACCTACTAGATGCCAGTAACAACTTTCTCCCCCAGCCCCTAAGCTGTGACAACCAAAAATGTCTCCAGACATTGCCAAATGTCCCCGGCAGGTTGTGGGCGGAAAGGGTGGCATGTAAAATTGACCCACTAAAAAAAGCTATTAAAAATTTTCTAGAAGACCTGAATACAGGGTCGTTTTTTAAAAAATGAAACAAACTAATTGGAAACCTTACATTGTATATACTTATACTTTTAGCATCATTACCATACTGAGCACCTACTATTTTGTAAAAGTATTTTGTAAAAGTTAGGCATACAGAGAGGTTTAAAGTATGTCCTCTGTTCTTAAGACCCTTAGAATATAGTTGAAGACATACATATGCACCTACACACAAAGTTATCAATAAAGATATAATGTCAAGTCTGCTTTTAGAATTGGGTAAGGTTTGAGAGAGATAAATTGCCCAGCAAATAAAACCGAAAAACACTCATTCCTTCAGAGGAGATCTGGGAGACTCCATATGTGAATGCTGTCCTCCTCTTCCCTTAAGAAAAATATTCCCTTGGCTATCTGTTCTCTCTGTCCTTAACTTCATTCCAGAATGAAGCGGGTTCTAGCGATGCGGCAGGCAAATATCCAACAGTTTCCTCTTTACAGGGCACAGATATTTATTTTAGAAGTTAATTTTATTCCCCGGTGTTCCAACCAGCTTGACAGGAGGCAGAGTGGTAGTGTAAAAAGAGAACTGGACCCACCTCAGTTAGATTTTTAGGTCCCTCTGTGCCACAAACTACTTTTTTGGCCTCGGGCAGGTCATTTGAACTCTCTGGACTTCGTTTTCTTCACCTCCGTTCAACTGTTAGCTTCCGGAGTATTTTTATCTGCTCTAGATTGGCATACAAATTGTGTCTCCTCTACGCTTTGAATCTTACTTCTTTAGTACTCAGCATGGGACCCTAAATCACTGTTAATTGAGTTGAATTCAATTGCATGAACAAATGTCAAACACCATGCAAAGGTGAATTGAGTATCTTTCTCCAGCTCTGTAAGTATACTGACTTCAGTTGCCTTTGATAGCTAGTAATCAGTCTCCTTCAATTCAGGACTTAACTTTCCTATAGATTTCTGAACACCTATGTAAACACATGAATTCAACTCTAAAATAAAGACTAATATTTCTTTTGAGTAGGTGTTAAGAGGCAGCATGGCATACTGTTAAAAAAACACTCTGGAGCCAGAGTGCCTGGGTCTATCTCATAAGGTAGCTCTGAAAATTTAATAATCTATTCACATAATATACTTAAAACAGTGCCTAACCCAACCCAGATACACAATAAATTTTAACTTTTATTATTTAATAAGCATGATCTGACAGTACCATATTTTTTTAAACCCCACACCAGCTTTGCCTCCTAATTTAATAGGTTAATTGTACTGATGTAACTCTAGGGCCAGCTGCTCTTGTATCCCTAAATATCCTTTCCCTTTACTATTTAAGTCACCATCTCTTGTATGATGGAAATCCACTGACCCCTTCACCATTTTCCACTTTCATACTAAATTTTCAAGAGTCTAAGTTTCTCCTGGCCACTTCCTGCTTAAGGTGAATGCCTAGAATCCGTGCTATACCTCATATCCTATGATTGCAGCCACTGAGTCTTACTCTTTAATTTTAAAATTAAAGTTAGATTGTGGATTTCTGTTTGTAGATTGTGTATGTCTTTTAATATGAAGAACTATGTCTAACGTGTCACATATGCCTTCTAGATGAAAATTAACAATATACTTGAATAAGAAATAGCACTTTGGGCTAGAGGCCAAGAAATGGGTTCAAAATGATATTACTTAATTACATTGACCCCAAACTGTTTAGTTGGTAAAATATGAAAGCTCTATGGCAATCTCTTTTTCCAAGAAAAGTGAGACTCCTTCTGGCTGCTATTCCTTGGACAATATGTCATGCAGAATGCATGTCAGAGTCCCTCAGTGGGGCTTGTTAATTTGAAGTGTTGGTCCAGTGGGACTTTCTGATATTTAGAAATATTGTTCGAAGATTCATCCTTCATGTCTCTTCTCCTTTATTCACTCCTTTCACTACTTTTATAGATTCACTCTTTTGCCCAAGCCATCAGCTAAAGCCATATTCAGCTAATCTAACAGAAGAGATATTTGTGCTTTGCAAATATAACCAGTCATTCCTGAGTAACTGTCAACAGAAGGCTGTTTGCTCTGAAATGCCATTGAATACTTTTTTGTGTTTGTGGTTTACTGGACTTGAAAGTGTTTATTTGAAATGTCATTTCCGGGAATGTTCTGGTGTCAGTGGACAAAGCCTATGGCCAAAGATCTTATGCTTCAAAATGTTCATTTGGCACTTGAATAATAAACCACCATCCATCCCCCAATTCTTCCAACTTTACCATTTTCCATGAAGTTAGAATTTTAAGTTTTCAGGCCTAAACAAACAGGAAGAGTAATTAACAGTACTACCTGGTTGTTGAAATGTTGGATATGTGTGAAACATCTTTTTAGAAAAATTTAAACGTGAGCATCTTGACTGTGATTTTTATACAGCTTTAAGTCTGTGTGTTAGAAAAATATTTTATTTATAAATTTCTTCACTCATTCACTCAACAGATATTTACTGTGTACTGATTGCATGTCAGTTGCCAGATACCTTGTAACAAAGAGGAACGAGACTGGTCCTTGAAGTCTTTGAAGTAGGAGAGACATTTAATTCAAAAATTGCAATGAAATTGTTGTAAGCTCTTTAATTGAAATATGTGCAAATTCCTTCGGGTAATTCAAATATGTGCAAATTACTTTGGGCACCTGGTAAAGGGAGAGACCAGCATGGCTTGGCTGGGTCAGGGCGCAGGGCGCCTTCACAAAAGTGATATTTGATCTTTCTTTTATAAAGATAAATAGAATTTCCTGAAGCAAAAGGGGCACAATGAAGAATTCCCAGCAGATTATAGAGCTTCCAGTCCTGTGTGTCATTAAAAATGAGGAGAAAACTGTTGACAGTAACAGTCATGGGATTGGGGGGGGGGGAGAGGGTTTGCGGAATTGCAGAAGATACTCTTTTTACCTGATATATAATATTAGATTTTTGTGTAGTAAGCATGTGTTACTTTAGTAATTAAGAAAAAACTCTCAAATCCAAAAAAAAAAAAAAAAAAAATTCTTGGTCTTGCCATCACCATAAACACTCTGTTAACAGGAACCACAGAGCCAGAGGTAGGAAGTAGGAAGAGTCATGCAGGAGTCACCAAGGCCCAGAAGTACCAGGCAATACAACCAAATGCATGCTAAGGCTTTGGTGTAGTTAGAGCTTTATGTAGCCATTTCTAATGCACTGGGTTCCCTGTTAGAGGTGGGGATCCATCCAGGAAGAGGGTTTTCTTCTCCCAGGCCCTGGTCAAGCCTCCCTTGGAAATGTCTCAGGAAGTCCAATCCAGAATAACTGAGTGAGGGAAATGAAAAACTTCTAAGAAATAGAAACCTAACGGATAGAGCTAGAGATAGAGCCTGAAGCCAACTCGGGACTAGCCCAGATCTAGAAAGGAGGTTCCATTAGAAAGGACCTCCTCTTATGGTCAAATAAGTTTGGGAAACTCTTGGTAATTTCTTTTTTTTTCTTTTTTTTTTAACATCTTTATTGGAGTATAATTGCTTTGCAATGGTGTGTTATTTTCTGCTTTATAACAAAGTGAATCAGTTATACATATACTTATGTTCCCATATCTCTTCCCTCTTGCGTCTCCCTCCCTCCCACCCTCCCTATCCCACCCCTCTAGGTGGTCACAAACCACCTAGCTGATCTCCCTGTGCTACGCGGCTGCTTCCCACTAACTATTTTACGTTTGGTAGTGTATAT